TGGGCTCTTATCTATGCAGGTTTTTTTTTTGTCCAAGAAAAAAGAGGGGGGAAAAAAAAAAAAGAAAAAGCCCCTCGCTGTTTTGAGCTCAGATGCTCCAGTAGAGCTACCCACCCTGGTGCTGCCGCTCGTGTCTCCCCAGCTGCGGGGTACAGGCTGCGTCTCCATGCTTCTGGCTTCCCTCTTTTCCTGCTCAACTGGTTAGAGGTTAGTGCCTCAGAGTCTGCACACCCTGGGGCTCCTGTGTGCTCCCAGCGGGACATGTGGCCCAGCGTCAGAGCTTTCCCTGATGCTGCAAACACTTCTGCCATGTCCTGCATTCCTACAGCTCCACAGCCCCAGGCGCTGGACACTTCTGATCGCACTCTCCTCTGTCTGTTCCCCTACTCCTTCCGCCTGAGGATTCTGTATTAGCGCAGGCCAGAGGTGCAGGGAGCGAGCCTCAGGAACTCTCTCCGATCTGCTCTCTGAAACCCCAAGTCTCAAATGCCGTGGGTGCGGGCGTCTCCATGCGTCTAGCCTCCCTCTTCTCCCACTGGCCGGTCTGCCCACCTTTAAGTACTTGGCATGGGAGTCCCTTCGCTGCTCAGCATGCTGGGTAGAGGTTTGTTTGCAACCTGCAGCTGTTCAAATTGCAGGAATTTCCAGGGGAGAACTCAGGGAGCCCTCCCTACTGCAGCCATTTTACCATCTCCCTCTGCAACTCTCTTTTTATTTAAGTCAGCTAGACCAGAGATTGATTCATCCCCAGTGAGTTTTGCCAAGTCAATGAATTGTTCTTAGTTCAGCTTTCACATTTGTAAACTTGGAGGGGAGAGAATGATGCTTAATTTACATACTGTTAAAATAGTGTATCTAGAAGAACTGGCTCTGTGCTTGGCACACAATTAACACACATCCTGTTGTCTTCTTGGCCCTTTGAAGGGCCTTTTAAGTCTTCCATCACAGATGTCCCTGAGGTTGGGGAAATTGCTGGGGATGATACTGACTGTTGGAGTTTTATGCTTAATATTTTTAGCCCCTAAAGATGACTTTGCACTTTGAGTTTACAGACCTTTCTGTTGGAGAATTGGATTGAGCTGCCTACCTTCCTAACAGTTGTATTATGAAAATTCAAGAGTGAATGTACTCAAAAGTACTCTGTAAACATTTGTAGGTGTGTTTTTTTGTTTACTATTTGCTTGTTTGAACATTGCAGTGATTTGGAGGTGGAAATCTTTGGGCCTTGGATTCATTTGATTTTTGCTTTTTAAGTTGCTTGGAGGCATGTCAGATAACCTAAAAGACTTTATCTTATAATAGATGCAAAATATATTGAACTTCACGGGAACCACTGATCTCTGACATAAAATTAAATCTGTAATTCCCTGCTCTTGGCTGCTGATATGCCACATCATGAATATTTATTATTTATATGCAATGCGACTTTGTGCCTGATATTTAGAGTCACATTATCAATCATAAAACCCTACACTTTTTATTTTTAGGAAAATCAATGTTATCTGGATCAGGTGAATAGATAAAGGCTCAGTGAAGTCATGAATCTTACTTAATCTCTGGCATCATTGTCGATTTAACTGTTCTTTAACTAAACACAAAACTTGTCTTCAATTTTAGTGGAAAGAAGAAGTTATTCTATAATTATTTAGAAATAATCATGGGTACGTAAATGGAGTTATCATATCAGAATTGAGCCTAACATGGCCACATCCCTGTGGGAAATGTCCTGTGTGCTATAGGGATCGTCTCCAGCTTTTTCACCAGGAAGTAAACCCAGGTATGGGAAATTCAGAGAAACAACTCAGAGTGGCCTTACACATGCAAGAGAATTCTTTGAAACTCCTGCTTTACCTTCAAAATGCATGCATATTTTGCATCCAACTTTAAGTTTCTTCATATTTGTTTTTAAAATAGTTTTACCCAAAATTTTGAATAAAACTGATTGACCCTGGCACAATGCCTGCCTCTAGGAATAACAGTGAGCCTGTCTGAGAAGCCATGATGTCATTGGAAAGTGGTAGGTGGAGAATATAGGTCAACATGCAAATATGACTGTGTGATGAAGACATGTATGATTTGAGCAAACAGCCTCATCTTCATGTGGTGGTAATGTGGTAATGTGAGAGGAAAGGTAGAATTTGGATAACATGACACAGAGCTAAGGCAGAAGGGGCCTATAGTAACCTGAGCCACACATCTTCATACTACTGAAACAGAAATTCCCCTGCAAAAGTAAAAAGTCCTGACCTTTGTTCTATTTTCTGCTGAATTCATTTTGGGGGTATGCAACAGTGGTGGGATTCATACTTAATAACTTTTCAAAATGCAGATGTAAAGGAAAAATAAGAATGGGAATATATATATATATATGTGAATTAACCCTAAAACTCTTACTTACTTCAATCCCAACACCCTACTCAATACCCTACCAAATCTTCTGCACACCACCAACAGATCTGGCTTTTACTCTATTAAGCCATTTGCTAAGTAGGCTTTGTTGTGGAACATTTGTATGTAAAACAATCAAAATGCCAGGGACCATCTGAGAGTAGGGCATTAGGACCCAGAGTCCAATGGTTTGAATAAAAACTAAGCCTCAGACAAGCCTCAGAGCAAATGGAATATGCAGACCTGAGAACGAGCAATTCGAGCAATTCGACAATGTGCCCCCACCATCTCAGGTTGTTCCATGGTGAAACTATTGGGGCTGGGTCTTTACATCATTTTCATAGTCAATAAATGATAGAGCATCTGTCTGTGAGTGCAGCAGATTTCTTAACCTCGAACATGCCTGTTGGAGCTCATCTTAAACTATAAGTCAGGATGCAAATCCTTCCTGAGCAGAGCAAACATCTTTACTTCCTAGAAAATATTTATTATGGCTACTGTTGCCTCCAGTTTCATACCATAAGTCTGATGCTGAGATGACTTTGTAAATAATGTTAGCAAAAAGTGATGAGTTATATAGAATTTTATGGAACTTTAAATGTCTCCTCTTTGAGTTTAGTAGCTTCTGAAAAATATACATTATCTTTTTGTCCTCAGACCTGTTTTGATGCAATAAAGATGAAGAAACTTTATGTAAATACCCTGAATAACCAGCAGAGGAAAATTTAAACAGGAAGATATGTGTGTTTTAAATAGGAAGGAACAAATGTACTATTTTTTGTTATCATTGCATGTGTAAGCTCATTTTAGCCTAGCATGAAATGTGCAGTTTAATCCTACACTTTTTAAAAATTATAAATTGTAATGCACACAACTTTAGACTTGTAATTTTTCAAGAATCTATTAAAAGTATAGTTTTTGTTGTGCCCTCATGGATCTTGTATCCTGAGAAGGAACAAGCTAGATGTTTATATTTTTAGAAAAGAATTAGGAACAATCAATTGTAATGGTCCTACTTAGGCAGATACAGCACTGTAAAGGGGGTGGTCAGCCTGCCAAAGAATCCTGCAGTCTTTATCCAGGCATAGGTTTGAAAAAGAAGAAAACCCCACAACATTAACGAAGTTTGAGCTCTGATTACGCTTGTGGGTATTGGCCACTTTGAGAGTTAGGAGAGTGGTCCAGCCTGAGATCGCAGTCTCTGAACCATTTGTTGACCTCTATTGCTCTGTGTCAGTCAGCTGAAGAACAGACTAGGAAGAAGCAGGCTTTCCAACGTGAAGAGGGCTAATGTCTGGGACCAACCAGATTCTGACTCATCAATCCCAGCCCTGTCTTCCTCTGATTCTTTATTATCAAACAAGACTCTTAGAGACACAGACCTATCAAAGAGTTTCACAATCTCTTACTCCATTCCATGTGCCACCCACATTTGTTCCCTCTGCTGAGCAGCCCAACATCCCTGAGAGATACCTCTCACTTAAGCCTAAGCAGATGTACTGAGATTTGCACACAATCTGTAACCAAGTTCCTAGGGGCACCTGCTTCAATAAGGAGATATTCTAATAATCCCTTTGTACTCTGCTTGGGCTGAAGCTGTGAACTCTAGTGATGAGTCATTACTCTCAGTCTTATATAAGGAAGGTTGATGGTAACATCCAATCACAACTTTTACAGCATCAAGAATACTGAGAAGCAGGAGAAAGAGAGAGAACAAGCCCACACAACTTACAAACAAAGAGACTGAGTTATAGGTCATCAAGTTTTTCATTTTTTTCCTTCAGTACAGATTATCTTCTAAAAGTGGACACTGTAGATTTGCTTAATACTCAGATTTTTAAAATTATTTTTTGTAAATACACAATGTATACAAAAGTAACTCTGCCTTTGAATAAATACTCAGAAATGATTTTTACCTATAAATGGATGAAAGCAAGGACTCTAGATGTTTTGATTAACCCATTAACAGACATATATTGAACAACGATGGAAAATAAAGCATTTTAGCCACCTGGTTTGCAAACATCTACTAGACTATAGATAACCTATGTAAAAATTGTGTTCTGAAATTTCCCAGGAAAGAAATTAAATAAGAGACCTAGCTTCTTAATGTCATGCTTAGGTTCCTCCCAAATAAACAGAATTTCCTGGAAATCCCTAGATAATAAAACAGATCAGAAGAAATGGAGATACAGAAATTTAACACTAAACTTTGCTAAATGGAAACACATTGTAATTAAAACAGTAAACATCTGTTGACTAATCATTCTACTTCCTTAGGATTTGCTTTAATACTTTTTGCATATTTGAATTTAAAAAGGCATTGTTTGCATAAGTAATTATAAAGGGCCTCTAATAGTACAGTAATTCTGTTTGTTGATTTTCATTTCTCTGAAAGTAAGCCTCATCCCCACTAGCATTCCCCACTCTATTACTGGGAAAAGTCGTTAGGTTGCTAGAAGCTTCTTTTAATCAATAATAGCCTAATGAAATCACAATGCTGCTGTCTCCATAGAATGTAGCTGAAGAGTGATTAAGCATATTTGTGTTAGAGCGTGAGTATCTATTTCAATGCTTGTTTTGTTTGTCTCCCATTTTCCTTCTTCTTACAGATTTTTAAAAGCGTTGCCTCTGTTGAGACTGTCCAGGGTCAAGGAAGTCGGCGGCTGATCAGCTTTTCTCTGTCAGGTATGTTTTACTCACTTGAAGGCCTCATCAGAAGAATAAGAATGTCAACCAACAGTCAGGAGGCCCACTTCAATTTGACTCTTACCTAATAGTTGCTCAACCTCTCTGTGCCTCAATTTCTCCACCTGTAAAACAAAATTTAAAATATCTACTTCATTCCTTCTGTCTTCATGAGGATATTGGAGAATTCAATAAGTGATAGATGCAAAAGCACTTTTAGATGATGAGAAGAGAAGCTACTATTCTACTTTTCCTCCATTTACAAGTAGCAGTTATTGAGAGTTTTTATAAAGTGGAGGCAAGAGAAAGCCTGAGGAAAGAAGCAGCTAGCAGACCCTTTATCTAAATAAAATCTCAATTAAGCACAACTGGTAAAACACAAAACCTGAGTTCCTCAAAAACATCCATTCATGGAAAAATCAGTGTAAGCCATATAAAGTCTGTAATTTAGTTAATAGTATTTAATTAATAGTTAAGAATAATTTAGTTTTTTTTTAATTTTAATAATGTATGTTAACAATGGGGAAACTGGGTAAAAGGTATTGGTACCATGTTAAGGGTCCACCTGCCTGCTGCTTGAAAAAGTTAAAAATCGAGAGACAAGGTTGGTGGAAAGAAAAGTAGGTTTATTCAGAATGCCAGCATTCTGGGAGGATGGTGAACTCCTGTCCAAAGGACATCTTCCCATTCCTAGACCAGTTAGAAAGTTTTATAGGTACACAAGAAGAACAAAGGAAAGGAGGCATTGGTCAGGCAGGTTTGAGGGCTGACAACCCTTGCTGGGGTTTGGTCTGTTTTAAGACAACGTTATCTCTGTACTCTGGACACTATGGTCTGGGGCTTTATGCATCACTAGTAAAAACTGCAAGGGGGTTGCAAATTGGATTCTAGTGTCCGAGCACCTGAGGATTAAGAAATTATTCTTTGGTTAGGATTCTGTTGATTAAATGGATTAGTGAGATATATGTGCAGATTTAGGAAAGGGAACAAAATAGAGTTCTTAAGTTCATCAGAAACGGGAGAAAATAGCTGAATATCAGGGTGGATCAAATTGCAAGCTAACTAAGTCTTACTACATTATTGATTCTCTGAGTTTCAACCTTACAGTATTGTACTATCTTTGCAACTCTTCTGTAAATCTACAATAATTTCAATATTAAAAGCATGAAGAAAAACTGAGCTGTGCTGCCTATAATATTATACAAATTTTAGAGCCTCCACACTAAATTTCACCCGATGTTGTCTTTGAAGAGATGCAATGGCATGAAGCTCTTGGACTCTTGTGAGTACAGTTTGAGAAACTATTGCCTTAGTTTGTTGTCAAACCAACAAATGTTGTAGGCCATAAATGTCAGAGATCAGAGATCACACTCATGTACTGTCCTTAGAAAATGGACAGTCGACTGGGGCTTTTCATGTTTAAGTGAACCCCAGTAGAGCACATGTGTGTCTAAAGATCCATTGTTAAGCAATTATAGCAAGGTTGCAGGATACAAGGTTAATATACAAGTATAAGTCAATCACTTTTCTATATACCAGCAATGGACAAGTGGAATTTGAAATAAAAACATGATACCATTTACATTAGCACCCCAAAAATAAAATAATTAGGTATACATATAAAAAATATGTATAAGATCTATATTAGGAAAACCACAAAACTCTAATGAATGAAATCAACACACTAAATAAGTGGAAAGATACTTCATGTTCATGGATAGTGAGACACAACATTGTAAAGATACTAGTTCTTCTCAACTGAATGTATAGAATCAATGCAATCCCCATCAAAACCCCAGCAAGTCATTTTTTGGATATTGACAGACATTAAAAAGTCTGTATAAAAAGGCAAAAGATCCAGAATAGCCCACACAATATTGAAGGAGAAGATAAATGTTGGAGGACTGACACTACCCGACTTCAAAACTTACTATAAAGCTATAGTTCAAGACAATATGGTATTGGTGAAAGTCTTATTATATTATCTGGTGTTTGTATTCTTTGGAATTTACCCAAATAGATTGAAAACTTAAGTCCATAAAACACCTACACACAGATGCTTATAGCAGCTTTATTCATAACTGCTAAAACTTGACAGCAATCAAGATGTCTTTTAGTAGGTGAATGGATCAATAAAATCTGGTACATCCAGATAATGGAGTATTATTCAGTTAAAAATAAATGAGCTATCAGGCCATGAAAAAACATGAAATGCATATTATTAAGTGGAAAAAAAAATTTGAAAAGGATACATACTGTATGATTTCATCTATATCACATTCTGGAACAGGTAAAAGTATGGAAACAGAAAGTATAAAGATCAGGGATTGCTAGAAACTGGGGAAAGAGAGATGAATAAGCAGAGCACAGAGGATTTTTGGGGCAGTGGAAATACTCTGTATGATATTCTAATTATGGATTCATGTCATTATACCTTTGTGAAAACCCATAGATGTACAAAACTAAGAGTGAACTATAATGTAAACTATGGACTTTGAGAATAGAAGTAAAATATATATCACTCATCTGTGATTATGATGTGTCAATGTAGGTTTATCAATTACAACAAATATACCACTATAGGAGGGGATGTTGATAATAGGGGAGACTATGCATGTGTGGGGCAGAAGGTATATAGAATATTTCTGTATTTCCCTTTAAGGAGGAAGTGTGTTGTGAATCTACAACTGCTCTTAAAAAAAAGTATTTTTACAAAAAAACCCCACCTTATTTGCAAGACACATTAGCATAAGTCCTTCTATGTTTAAAAAAATGAAAACGAAGTTCAATACTTTTGTATTATTAGGGTAAAAAACTAATAACTCCTGATTTGCTTTTTTGTTGTTGTTAATTTATTTTTTGAATTAAAGTTTATTGGGGTGACAATGGTTAGTAAAGTTACATAGGTTTCAAGTATACAATTCTGTAATACATCATCTATATAACACGTTGTGTGTTCACCACCCAGAGTCAGTTTTCCTTCCATCACCACATATTTGCTCCCATTTTCCATCATCTACCACCCCCTCTCCCCTTGCCCTCTGGTAACCATTAAACTATTGTCTATGTCTATCAGTTCTTGTTTCTTTATTTGTTTGTCTTGTTCCTTTGTTACTTTCAATTATATCCCACATATCAGTGGAGTCATAAGGCTCTTGACTTTTTTTGTCTGACTTATTTCGCTTAGAATAATAATCTCAAGATCCATCCATGTTGTCATGAATGGCATTATTTCATCTTTTCTTATGGCAGAATAGTATTCTATTGTGTATATATACCACATCTTTTTTTTTTAATTGGGGAATTGGGGGAAGGGGAACAGACAAGTTGCTGTCCTTTTGTTCTTCAGTCTAGTTGTGGAGGATGTCGCTTCACTGGCCCAAGTTGGCACCATCATTGCGCTCTTCCCAGGTGAGGCAGATCAGTCGCTGGCTTCTGGATGGCCACTCACAGCGGCTGCTGCCTGCTCACGCTGGCTGCTGGCTACACACGGTAGACCATGGCAGCTCACTGCAGCAGGGGCTGCAGCCTATGCCATCGCCGGTGACTCATGGCAGCCCAACTCCAAGTCGAGCTGTTGTTCAGCATCTTAGCCATAGAGGGCAGTGTTACTGGCCCTCATATGTGGGATCCAAACTGGGGCCCTCTGGCATCCCAAGCCAGCTCTTAACCAATGCACCACTCGGCCGGCCCTACCACATCTTCTTTATCCAACCATCTATCGAAGGACACTTTGGTTGTTTCCATGTATTCTTATGTTCCTATTGAAATGCTTGAGAAGTAACAATTATTTTTACAAGCCTTCAGAAATTGTAGAAACTAGAAAACTACTCAACTACTTGCCAGAAATGAAGAGGAATTTTTACTAACCAAAGTTCGGTGAAATATTGAAGTGTAAGTACTGTGATACAGGATGGACATCATAGGACTGAGGAAGATGAAATCTCTATTAATTTGTTCTCATTTTTACTCTGCCATACAGACATGAGCTCACAAACTGAGCAGAAAAAAAAAACCACCCCCACCCCAACTTGATTCAAAAGTTATTTTATATGTCCTATGACACAGTCCTTGAACTTCTCTTTTCTATCTACGCTTAACTTCCTTGATGATGAAATCTTGGTACATGGCTTGCAGTATCATCTACATCCTGAAGACTCTAAAATTTAAAATCACCAACTTGGCTCTCTATCCTAAATTCCATCTGCTTTTTTGATATCTAATACCTACTTGATTATTTAACAGGAATATCAAACTTTACATGCTCCAAAACTTAATTCTTCTTCCAGTGATCCCCTTCTCAGTTACCAGAAACTTAATGTTTCTAGTTTCTTAGGTCAAAAATCTTGGAGTCTTTGTGTCTCCTCACTCTTTTATCATGCATCCAATTTATTAGGAAAGCCTGTTGGCTCTGTCTTCAAAATACACACAGAATTCATTGCTTCTCATAACCTCCACTTCTAACTCTTTCATCCAAGCCAACAAGATGTTGTGTGTGGATTATTCAGAGGTCAGGAGAAAAGGAGGAACCAGAAAAAGAGACTGAAGCAGTGAAACAGGAAGAGAAGGAGGAGAAGACCAAACAAAGGTTTCAGTTTGAAAATCAAACAAAGCCTATCAAGGAGGAAACAACATTAAGCTGTGTCAAGTATTGCTGATAATAGTTAAGTAAAAAGATAAGAATCGACCTTCTAATTTATTAGTGTGGAGGTCCTTCAACAGTGTCTAAGGTAGGCAAGAAAGCCTAATCCCAGTGTATTCTTAAGAAAATGAGAGGAGTTAAATTGGAGACAAAAACTATAGAACACTGGCAAACCTTAAAATTGTGTGCCAGCTGACAAGGGACACATGTTTATAGGGTCCAGCTCTACTATCACAAAGCAGAGTGGAGAAGGGTTGATTTGAATCTAAGAAGTAGGCAATACATTGGTAACTGATGTCTTACCCAGTAGAATAAAAACTCTTAAAGAAACTTTTCCATTTTAATTCTCTGCACTGCA